TTCCCAGCTGGAATCAGTGAAGCAGATGTGGTACAATCGGTTTCCAAGGCAACTTTGCGGAGAAGAGTGTGCGTGACGCCTTGCGGATCGGACAAGTAGTGTGAACCGCGGGTAGCCCCCCCCCCCCAGGGCCTCCAGGGCTCGCACCTCAACCTCTCACAGACCAGCGCACAGCGCCATGGGAGGTATTTTCTTCTCAACAACAAGGCTGTGAAACGGAAGAGCTGGCGAGTAAAAGTGTCCGGACGCTTGGAGCACACACATGCTTTCGCAGGAACCCGGCGACGAGCCACAGCCCAAGAAGGCGAAGGCTGCGCAGACCGCGCCGCTGGTGATCGACGGCCAGGCGAGCTGCCCCCAGTGTCAGCGGCCGGTCGCTGGCAAGCAAACGTTTTGCAAGGTCCCGCCCGCTGGCGAGCCGCAGTGCAAGCAGGCGTACAACCGGCGCCAGCGCGAGGCTAAGCTGACCAACGCCGGCTGGGCGGACGGCGAGGATGCGGGTCGCCAGCGCGGCGGCGAGCGCCGCGTCTTTGCCGTGAACGGCATGGCGCGGCTGGACGGCGCACACGGCATGCGGCTCGCCGAGGTGCTCGTGACCTCGCCGCACTGCACGCAAGTCGAGCAGTACAGGATAGGCCTGGTGCGGCTCTCGGGCGTGACGGAGATGTACTGCCCGACGCTTCCCGACGCTATGCCCAGCGAATTCGACCGCAACATGAAAACGGAACAACTCGATGCAAAGGAGGCGCAGGGGGAGGGCTCGAAGACGTGCTACACGGCGCTCTCGTACGACAGGCGGTGGCGGACCGCGAAGCTGCGGCCCTGGACAGAGGCGTATGGGCAGCAGCTGGCCCAGGGCTACATCACCTATATGGACCGTTGGATGGGCCGCGACACGTACTACCTCCACTGTGGCTCGGTTCTCGCCATGCAGATGTCGTCGGGCGGCTACAGAGCCGTTCACTTTTGCACGGCAACGCCCGTGCTCCACCTGGAATGCTACAACGGCATGGAGCAGATCTACCCGAGCATCCTCGAGATGCACTACGCGGCCAACGCGCACTCCCGCCAGCTGCGGCTCGAGTGGCTTGAGCGGGCCAAGGGCTCCCTTACCGCATGGGCCAACGACTTCAAGATGTTCGGCTTTCTGAGCGGACCCCGGCTGGGCGACAAGGAGGGCAACTCGCCCCTGGAGTTCTGGCGCCGGTCGCGGGCGCGAGCGGACGTGAAGAAGGAGGACGGCGGCCTCGGCCGCTCGGAGGAGGAGATGCAGCGCGTGTACACCGCGATCGACAAGGCGCTGCTGGCTGTCGAGGCTGAGGTGGGGCTTCGCATCAAGCAGGCCGGCACAAAGGCGGTGAAGGCGCGGGTGCGCGCCGAGTGCATCCGTCGCATCGGCCAGCGCGCCTGGGGGCAGATGCCCCACATCGACCTGCGGACGCACGAGGTACAACTCGCGACTGCGCTGACGGACAACTGCGCGCCCACCATCGTCTACCAAGGCGCCGACGAGTACACCCTCGCGACCCTAGCCACGCAGGTCGGGCGGGAATGCACCTACCTGGCCAAAGACGGATACGCCTGTTTCCGCCAGCTGCTGCTGGAGCCGGAGCTGCTGATGGCTGGCATGCAGCCAGCCACCAAAAAGCCGCTCATGGCAGGCGACAGCATCGTGCTGCGCGGCGGCGTCGTGCACGCCCGCCCGTGGTGACTGCAGCTGGAAGGGAGGCGCTTGTCCAAGGAAGCTTCTCTCTCAGTGTAGTAGTAGTCCAGGTTCTTACTAGAAAAGGGAGAAGGGTGTTCTCTCTAGGCCCTACGCGCATCTCCGCACCGCTGAGGAGCGCCAGAGCCCTCAGGGTAGGCTCCGCCTCACTGCATCTCGGACTGGAGTCCACGAATTGATTTTCCTAGCGTCGTCAAAGTGAGCTCGAAGAGCCGAGGCCCGCCGACCGCCTCCCTTCTCGCCGCTGCTCTGGGCCGGCGCGATCACCCACCGGGCTCAGCCGGCCGCGAAGGCGCCGACCGGTGATCGCCACCGTGCCCCGCGTCCGAACGCCGTTTCATCGCTTCCCCCTCCCTCCTACTGCAAAAAAAAAGCTCGTGGGTGCGGCGCCATCGCCTGGTCGGAAGCACCGTGCAGCGTTGCCAGCTGTCCATCGCCCCCTCATGTGCCCTCGCGCTCCCATTGACTCCGCGATGGTGAGCCTCCGCCTGTACAAGACCGGGACGGCGGACGAGAAGCGCGACGAGGCCAAGCTCGCCACCGCGCTCCGCGTGGCGGGCGCCTCGCTGGCCACGCTCAAGCAGGCGCCGCGGGCCCCGCAGTCCCGCTGCTCCGCTCCCCCCTTCCCCCTCCAAGCACGCCGTGTGCGTAATAGCATGTGTGACCTCCTCTCATCGCGTCTCCTCTCGCACGCAGGAGCGCTGCTACATGGTCGCGCTCGAGGACGGCGCGCCCGCACTCTCGGCGGGCGACGCGTCCAAGCTGCGGTGGCTGGTGGCGGAGACGTTCGAGCAGGACAAGACGAGCTGCTCGCCCGGCCTCGCCGCGCCCGCCGCCTCCGACGCCCACACGATGCTGCTCGAGGTCGGCCCCCGCCTCACCTTTGCCACGGCGTGGTCGTCCAACGCCGTCGCAATCTGCCAGTCGGCTGGCCTCCGGTCGGTCGCGCGGGTGGAGATGTCGCGCCGCTACCTGATCTCCACCGCCGAGCCGCTCACGCCCGCCCTCCGCGCCGCCGTCTCGGCCGCGCTGCACGACCGCATGACCGAGCAGGTGCGACCTCGCCCGCCCCCCCCTCCTCCTCCCTCCTC